AGGAGAAGACGCTTGTGGTGGACTTGGTAAAAGAAGAAGAGCATGTGGTGGACTCGGTAAAAGAAGAAGAGAGATTAATGTTTAAGAAAGTAGCGGGCTACTAACAAGAAATTAGTATGCGGCATTCAGAAACATAGTCTAGAATTGCCGCTACCATTCATAGTACTAAAATGTTCCAGACATTTTAGTACATTATTTATTAGAGTCAAAAATACCGTGTCTCTTTATTATTAGTTTATAGAGAGCACGATGGAGAGGCGGTCCCTGTGACGGGCCCTAACCTCAACAGCCTCCCTGGATCGACATCAGGGAACGTCATTGGATAATATAATACACGTGTTTTGATTGGTCTACGAAAACCCTGTTAAAAATGTTCAGTCAATTTACAAAATGGCTACACGAATTCGTGTTTAATGCGTTTCTGAAGCTCCTAGAGGCCCTACAGCCAAACGGAGACCGGATTTGGACTCTACTCGCCAGGGCAGTTTTCTGGGGAGGTGGAGTCCAAATCGCCATTTGGCCACTTGTGCACCAGGTGGCATACTGAAAAATGACTCGAAAGTTCAAAACGAATTAGTTTTGACAGTGATAGGTTTTGAGAGTACACTTGTATTGAAGTTAATAGCAGTTACAACAAGTGGCCATCTTATCGGAGCGTGTATGTTAACTTAGAGAAGCTCAATACCAACAGAATCGGCCCACATGACGGACAGCCTTGAATTTAGTAGAGACGACAAACGCAGATGATGCTGGGACGGCATAAGGTCTTATTCTATGGTCCGGCGCGCGGTATAGGATCAATCAGCAGCTCGGGGGCTCATCGAGCTGATCTCGTAGTCTCACATCACAATTTACACTCTACTGTCACCGCACCAGCCACACGCACGTCAAGGACACGCACGTCAAGGCCACGACACCAACAAATTTCGGTGCTTCAACAGCCAGCTTTGGGTATTGCAACGCTTCATTCTCGCTCAGTCGGCGTCATTCAGGATACTTGTGGAGACCAGGCAGATTGGCTCGAGGCTCAGTTATTTAACGCCAGCTTTGAGGATCATGTCTCGGTCGGCGCAGGTGGCCCGGATGGACCCTACTATCGCCGTGCATCTCATTACAATGGCTGCCCCAAAGCAGTTACCTTCGATTACAATTTCTCTATATAAAATAGTACAGTTATATTTCACTAGATAGTCATCATCACATCGGAGATGCTTACTTCGACAGCCTCCCACATCGAGGAATGTGTATGATGCTCTATCTGTCGGATAGTTACCACAGGTGGCTGTTATAACAGTCCTGTACGTACATGAGCATTTACAAGAAGTAGATCTTGTTTTGATATTGATGATCTTTTTCCTTTGACTTTCATTGTCAGATTTGTCGCCTTGTGCTGTTTTGCTTTGGCAATAACTGTGCTGATTTCTTGTTTTCATTGTTATTCTGGCTACTTAGGAAAACCTTAGAGGATTAAACCTGTTCACCGTAGTGATTGTTGTTGCTATCGTTTTAGTTATACGAATTTGTAGCAGCTACTTCAGGGAAACCTTTAATTTTAAGGATCAAAACCTGTTCGCTGAATTGTTGCTGTTATCGTTTTAGCTTTACGAATTTGTAGAAGCTACCTCAGGAAAACCTTTAATTTTAAGGATCAAAACCTGTTCGCTCTGTTGTTGGCTACTCAGGAAACCTTCGAGGATACACCTGATCACCGTATTTATCTTTATATATTTTGTGTAAGCGTTTTAGCTTTGTTCATTTCTTAAACTGCCATTGTTTTGCTCTTTAATATGTGGATATTTCTTTACAATGTGTGGTTTGTTTTTTGTTTTTCGCTGCTGAGGTCTTATAGAATTGCCTCCCAATTTCATGAAATGGTTGATATAGGTGCTGCAGTCATTTTCAATTTGTTCTGACTATTATTATTGAGAGCTTATAGTTTTCAAATATTTTTGAAGAAAGGCTACAGCTTTCAAAGCATAAAAACATCTAACAGTGTCATCGGTAGTGTACGCATCTTGTTTGCAGGCTCTCATCGTTGGGGCTATTTTTCTCCCTAGAGGCTCATGGAGTTGTTTCTCATTTCGAAGATTTTTATTTTGTTTATACTTCGCAAGTGCAAGCAATAGGTTTGTAAACTATCGATTCCATTGAAAATGAAACTAATGCAGTAAAACTATAGTTGCTTTCTGTAGACAGAGGCTTGTGTAGGCTTGTCTTAAAGTCATAAAGTATTGAAGATTTTTTCTTTATGCTGGAAATGTTTGAAACTTTTGCCGCAATAATTTTTTTTTTAAGTTTGGCGAATTGAATGAATTGTTTTGGCGTTGTTGCCTCCCAGTTTCATACATTTCTGGGCGTATTTCTTGACTTGGTTAAATACCAGACACATGTTTGTATGGACAATTGCCCATTTTTATTTTATCTCTTTCTTGTTTTTTTTAAGGTATATTTTTATTTTACAGGTCCAAAATGTAGTGGATTACCTGTTCTCAACAAGCCGTAGATCTGCATTTAGTAGACTGCTGCAGCTTTGCATTAAAGCGAGGTTTTAAGCTGTGCATTCGTCCTTGTAACATCGAGATGCACATTATTTAAAACTGGTATTTTCAATAAATCCACATATACTAGTAGTAAAATACGCGGTTTGTAGTTGGGAATAATTTTGG